TGAACCATAACTGTGTTTGTTCTACAGGAACATACATTCGTTTAGGCACATGCTTTTAAGATAATTTATGTAAAGTAAAGTTAAAAAGTGCAACGCTTTGTTCAATATTTTCTTTATATGCAGGCCACGGCAATTTAGACATTTGTTAAGATTTTTAAAGTTGGCTTTCGAAAAATCAAAGCGAATATTTGGTTCGTATGCTTGGGTACCGCAATTTTTACCATCACTTATAACTTCGTAAGATATCTCCAAAGCAGGGTGGTAGACACCTTCGGGCAAAACTAGTGGATCACACTTATTTACAACGGACTTAGATGCATCATCAACATAAACAAGATCTAATACTTTACCAAACTTATTGTGAAGTACATTAACCTGAGTTAGGCAGAGTTCAGCCATCTCCTCTAAAAATACGTTGTTGCACGCTCTAGACGCGAAAGGTACGATATCATTGTCAATGATGTTCCATGATATGCTTGGTAAATTAAAATCACCCAACACAATCATTGGATCAGAGGGTTTAGTCAATAAATTAACTGATTTCAGTAAAGAGATAAGTCGTGAATACACCAATGTGTCAGATCGGGGAGGGATATAGCATAGAGCTAAGTAAATAGACCCTTTTCCAACCTGTACACGAATGCATTTGAATTCTACTGAATCAATGTGTGGAAGACTAACTTCTTCAGATGGTAAAGAGTTTACAGCGAAGAGTACGCCACCGCCGATTCTGTTCTCCCTTATCTTGTCTATAGATACGATAATTATTTGGAAGAATCTCTGAATTGAAAATGTGAGGTTTCAGCCAAGTTTCAGTGAAAGAAAGAATATTATAATTACATTCAAGGCCTTTAAGGTATAAGTTCGTTAATTTAGTATTTAAGGCTCTTACATTTTGGTAATAAATACTTAAAGCAGATTTAATAATTAGTTTTTTGATTCAGTGTTATGACGGGGAATATTAGCTAAGTTATTTCCTTTTTTGGACCTATATTCGAATTCACGAACGAAAGCTCCGGGGGCCAAAAAGAACTACTAATCAGCGCATTAAAATTATCTAAATTTACGTCAATTTCAAATGAAGCAATATTTCTTTCGAATTTAAAATTAAATTTCCTGATGCTTAAGTCGACAGCTCTAATTTTTGATGAGATATAAAACTTTGGCTGCGTTTCTTTATACATTCCGGATAATCCCATTTTACAGCCGGAATAAACAGAATGCGTTTGAAATATACGTTAACATATCATCAGGAACGTTCTAAAGAATAAGTAAACAAAAAAGTTTATTCCAAACGTTCAGAATGAATAAAGAAATTCAGCCTTTATATCGTCTTTGGAAGTGTCTCTCGAAAATCTAGAGACAAAGATTGACTTCTTTGGCGGAACCACAACTAGTTTCCTTGTATCAGACTGGAGTACCGGCGCACTACAGGCAAAACACGAGTTTTTTTTTCAAAATCGTAGATCTTCGCTTAGAAAAGAGATAATGGAATGAAAATTTTTTTATCGTGAAGATAAATGATCTTATAATATAGGAAAACTATAGAGAAGTTACAACAATAATAACTTAACCCTCAAAATACCGTTCAAAATGTCACTTTTTTGGAAATTTTGGATTTTGGCTCCCATTCCACTAGAAAACACTATACTTAATACACCATTAGCACTGTTTCTGAAAGATTTCTCTTTATTTTATCTTAAGACTCGATTTTTGGGACATTGGATGCTGTACCCGAGTGGCCAGATTGGAAAAAGAAAAGCTTCCTTTAAACTCTAATAACTCGTAAACAATCAGCTTTCACAAAAAAATTTATATAACAAAAATGGTTATACTGGTCGATATCTTTACGAAAGTGCAGCATTTAACCCTTTAATGCAGAGTCTGTCATATATGAAACGCTTTATAACGTATGCTAGTGAGATTTAATTAAATTTAGTTTAATATAAAACACAATAACTTTCACTTAGCTTCATTTATTCCACACTAAGATGCTCATAGGCACTTTTTATTACAACTTTAACTCAGAATTAGCGCAATAAATAAATAACACAAACGGCAATAACGCAAATTTGTGTTATTTCCCAATTGAATGTGAATTAACACAAATTCGTTCGCGCTCGCGTCCCGCACCCCCTCCCCTCCTTACGCAATTATGCACTGGTGGCATTATAACCGTTTAGAAAAAAGAAAAATAATAAAATAACACTAGTTCACTTCTGAAACTGCTTTTTAATGTCCAAGTAATGGGAATTATTGTGTATGGTGTTATTGTATGCATCCC